CAAATTGTGGAAATTTTAGAACTTCTGATTATTGCGAAAAATGTGGTGAATATAAATGGAAAAAAAGATATGACGATGAATTAAAAAAATTAAAAAAAAACAACTGTGAAGATGAATTTCAATTGGAATATGAACCTGTGACAGTTTCATTTCAAAATGATAATGAATACACTTTGGAACCTAGTACAAAGATGAAAAAATTAAGTAAAAATAAAATTGATGATATTACCAATCAAGCTTTTGAATATTATGTAAGAGTTTGTGATATTAAAAATGATAATAGAAGTAAAATGAAAAGAGAAATGATGAAAGAACAAATTAAAAATTATATCATAGAAACAAATAATAATTTTGATAAATTTAATGTCTTAAGTTTTGATATTGAGGAAAATATTAGAGACGATCTTGATCCTAAAATCATATTAATATTTCTCATGATCACACGAATAACTTATCAAGAAATATTAAAATTAAATAATAAAAAAATAGAAAGTAGATATAAGGATTATTATAAAAATCCAAGACAAAGTAATGATGCTTGGAGAAATATTGTAGACGGATTTGTAAAGGATTGGGATCCTAAAAAGGCTATGAATTGGTTGAGTAATCGCTATTAATAGATTTATTATTTTGTAAAACATTATTATTGATAGAGAATTTATTATAAATAAACATAGTTTTTTTATTTCACGAAACATTACTTTTCATAAAAAAAATATTTAAAAAAAAAATCGTCTCTCTTTCATATTTAAAATATATTATTTATTAATGATGTAAAATTAAAATAATAATCAAAATACAAATTTCTTAAAAAAAAAAAAATAATCGAAAAAAAAAACTATTATGTTCATCCTTTTCAACTTCATTTGTTAAATATTAATTGAATCAATTTTATCATCGGATGGAAGAATGAGATATGTTCTTTCTAACTTTTCAATGTCTAAATTAGATATTTCATTTTTATCATTTAGATAAAATGAAATTAATTCGTTTTTAATACGTTCATTTTCTTCTTCTATAAATTCTGAAAAGAGATTCATGTATTCGACTCCTAAATGATCATAAAAAAACATTTGAAATTTTGTAATAAAATATTCTCCTTCTTTAATTTTATAATTAAGATCATCAATCCAATCAGAATATGTAAAGTTATTTTCGTCAATAATTTGAAATTCTTCAAGATGTAAGAATTCTTGCATGAATTCAGAATAGAGTTTTATGTATTTAGCATTCAATTTTTCAAAGAAAAATGTTTGAAGTTTGGTAATATATTCTTCTCTTTCTTTAATTTTTAAATAGAGAACATCAATGTAATCATAAAAAGAAAAATGAAAATTATATAAAATTTCAGATTTTTTAGTTTCGTTAGACATTTTTGGAATATCGGATACGAACAAAAAAAAAAATAATGAAAATAAAGGTAGTTTATATAAAAAAATTGTAAAGTAAATTTAATAAAAATTATTAATAAAATTACAGTTAATATTTATAATTAAAGATGGTATCTCATTAAAAAAATTTGTATAATCTAGATTTAATTTTTTTTTTAAAAAAATAAATTTTTATAATCGTACGATAGATATTTTTATTTGATGATATTTTTCAATTAAGTCATTGTACAAGATATGAACCAGTTGTTTTCCTTGTATCAATACAAAAGGAATTATGTTACTTACATAATATTTATTAACTAATTCTAATTTCAAAATATCATATCAAGATAGAATATGTGATATTTATTAATTAATAGAATATAAATATATGATAAATTAAAATTACAGTGAAAAAAAAATGATTATTTAAAAAAAATTTCGTATGATCTAGTAATTCTCATTGTATCAATTTCGAGAATACCATCTCCCACTATCACATGGTCAATCTTATTATTTTTATTGTTTAGATTACAAGTATTAGTTGGAGAAATTTCACTCAATATTTCATTATCTTTTCTCAATGATTCATTTTCTTTTGATAAAAATTCATTTTCATTTTTTAACAAATTATTTTCTGTTGTTAACGAATCATTATCTTCTCCAAATAACTTATTTTCCTGAATTAAAAATTCTTCTCTTTCTTTTAATGATTCATTTTCCGTTATTAATAAATTATTTTCTTCTTTGGATTTCTTTAATGTTTCTTCTAATTCTTTGATTTTTATACTTAAAGAATTAAATAATTCTTTTTTTTTCGAGTGATATCTTCTTTGTATTTCACGATTTTTACGAGCTTTCAAATCTCCATCATCATCACTTTTTCTTTTTGCTCCTCTTTTTTTTTGTAAAGTTTCTTCTGAAAAAGTTTCTTCCGTAATATTTTCTACAGTCATTATTTTAAAATTTATTATTGTTGGAATTTTTTGTATATTGAAATTACTAAAAAAAATATTCTAATTATTTATATCATTTTAATTAATTATCAATTGTAAATTTTATTTATAATTTATTTATAATTTTTAAATAAAATTATTAAATTCGAATTTGATTATACCATTATTAATTTATCATATTTTAATGATTAATTCTGAATTTATCATATCATTATTAATTTTTATTATATTTTAATCGTATAATGATTAATTTT